TTTTTCAAAGAGGTTACTGAGGAATGAGTAGCCGGCATGGTTGAGCTCCGTGCTGCATCCTGGTGGCACACGGAGACTGCTGGTACAGAGGAGAAATGGAGAGGTCAAATCCAGTTTTATATCACAGCAGTATGTGCTTGCTGCTATGACGAGTTGTATCACATCAAGTCTGTCACATAGAGACATACAGACAGACACATAAACAGACATGCACAGACACACACACAAAGAACACCCTGTAAATTATTCAAAACTCCCAAATGCACACATACGGTGGGAAGAGGTAGTCCTTGGTGAGCTGCAGGTTGTCATTATAGCCAAATCTCCGTAAGACAGTCCAGGTAGTTTCATGACGTCCTCTCTGGATAAAGAGGCGGTGCAGGAAGAGGAAACCCCGCAAAGTAAGCGAGTCACTGTGGACACCATCAGACACATTGCGCCGGACAACTGTCTTGAGCTCTTCTAGGGCCTGGGAGGGAGACATGGGTTTAGGTCTATGTAGGTTGAGTAGGCAGGTCTTTGGAAGTCTTGGACAAGAAAAGGGAAGAATTAAAAAAAAAAAAAAATTAGGGGGAGGGGGAGGGGGGAAGGGGGGAGAGGGAGAGGAGAAGGAGAGGGAGAAGGGGAGAAGGAGAGGGAGAGAGGGAGTAAGAGGGAGAGAGGGAGAATGAGAGGAAAAGAGAAAGAGAGGAAAAGAGAAAGAGAGAAAAAGAGAAAGAGAGAAAGGGAGAAAAAGAAAGAGAGAGAGAGAGAGAGAGAGAGAGAGAGAGAGAGAGAGAGAGAGAGAGAGAGAGAGAGAGAGAGAGAGAGAGAGAGAGAGAGAGAGAGAGAGAGAGAGGAGAGAAGAGAGAGAAAGACTAATATATATATATATATATATATATATATATATATATATATATATATATATATACATATATATATATATATATGGATAGATAGATAGATAGATAAAGATATAGATAATGATATATAATATATAGATATAGATATAAATATATAAATATATACATATATACATACATACACATATATACATACATACATATATATACATACATACATACATACACATATACATACATACACATATACATACATACACATATACATACATACATACATACACATATATACATATACATACATACACATATACATACATACACATATACATACATACATACATACACATATATACATATACATACATACATACATACACATATACATACATACATACACATATACATACATACATACATACATACATACATACATACATACATATATATATAGCTAGCTAGATATAAAACACTGAGAAACTAAAAATTTTCATTCCACACCCTAATCTCCTTACCTGGGGGTTAAGTGGCGCATTGAAACACCTCCGTTGAAAAGCATTTAGTTCCTGGTCGTTAAGGAGATTGTCGTTGTCTGTGTCACAGATCTGTGTCGGGAGAAAAGGAATGAAAACCATTTTCTGTTGTAATGCAAAATGCGATTAGATAATAAGTAAAGATTGAAAGCATGAACTGCGAAATATCAGGATTTTTTTTTTCTTATCTTTCAATGCAAATGAAGATCAAGCAAAAATCTATGGTCTCTGTCAATACAAATACCCATATCTAAAATTACTTGACAAGAAAAAAATAATAATAATAAAAAATAATAAAATACAGTGAGTATGTGGGCGGGGTACATGTGTATACATACACATATATAGCTCAAGAGGATCTTACCTTAAAAATTCTAATTAATGCTTTCTTACACTTTTCTGTCAGCTGAAATAAAGGATAGTATTCATATCAGTTAATGCAATATGAAAATAGTTCTTAACCCCTTGGATCCGGGTGACATGACCATGCAGTCATGGGAAAATCAGGAAAATCTGGCTGTAGGCCGGGTGATGCAAACTTGTCGTCGTGAGCTTTGCAGCAAAAGGCTGGGCTGATGGAAAAGACTCGCCATGAGTGCACGAACCTACTGGGAGGTTTACTTTACTCCTTTGGTGATTTTGCATTATTCCCATTGACGTATGAGTTTGGAATGAATGGTGACAAGAAGAGCACCAGCTCCACGGAGGACGCCATTTCCATACTAAGCACCGCATTCCTGCCGCAGTGAGCAGCAATACAGGTTGTTTTACAGAAAATTATGTAAAAAAAACACAAGCACACACACACACAAATAACATAGTGTTTCATAGTTTTATTCTTTTTGCACTGAGTTGTAGACTACCTTGAGAAATGACTGGAGTCTTTGCAAAGAAAAAAAAAAATTACCTTCTGATAATGCAAAGCAAATGGCAAACATGGATAATTGGAAAATGGCCAAAAAGCTAAAAACGTTTATGTGTAAAAAGAATGTAACTTTGCAAATGGGAGGTAAAGAGTCTTGTCACTGCACACACGTTTGCGTGCACCCGGCCTACATGCAGCCAACCAGCAGAGCGGCCACTCACGTAAGCCTAATGCCCAGACTTTTGGGGATTTGACTGCCATGACACAACCGGATCCAATGAGTTAAACAAGATATAAAAAATAAATCATTATCAAAAAATGACATTAAAAAAAATCTGTAACTATGTAAACTATACAATTCAATACTTAGTTATATTCATTATAACATCACAGAATAACACAATATTATTCACTAGTAGCTAATATCTCATAAACAAAAAAAATTTGTCTCAATAAAAAAAATATATATTTCTTTAAACTTACATCTCTCTCTTCTAAAATGTACAATGGCGCCGTAGGGTGTAACACTGCCTTCTGAGCATAGTAAAACATCTCTGATATGTTTTTCAAGGTTCTTGCAGAACACTGAAAAATCAAATCAGAAATGACCCAACTACACCTACCGAGCTCGGGACAGTCCCCTTAAGACCTCTCAGTCTTGTAATCTGATTAACTGTATTTTATGGTGAAAGGCCTATAATTCTACATTCTAGGTACTATACTCTATTATATCAGGTATATGCAGCTATATATGTATATACATATGTAACTGACAGTTATAGCTCACATACATTTATACTTTCTATATGGCAATTAATATTTAGAACCAATTAACAGTTACTGATATTCAGTATTCATTATATTCACCTCTACACAGGTTTCAATTTCTGGATATTCCATCATAGTTTGTAGCACAATCTGGAAATATTTGGAAAGTACATTAGAAATATAAAGAAATATGAAATATGAAACAATCTATTACACAATCACTACATACTCCCATTAATTATCAATATTAAAGTAAAAAATGGAAAAGAAAACTGTTCTATATATGAGATATAAACTATAAATTCTGCTTTTTCAACCAATTACTCTGTGCTTTCCACCCTTTTATTCTTATGTGCAGACCCTCACCCCTAAAAAGAAACTAACTAGAAATCTAGAACCGAAGGGGGGGAAATTAGAATGAAGAAATTGTAAAAAAAATATATAAATTTTTTCATTTCTTCCCATGTGCAACACTCTTGGAGTTAGACTCAAAACTCATCTCTTAGTAATGAGAATATACAAAGGATGGCTCATGCAGATTTTTTTTCTTCTTCTCTTTTTTTTCTTTCATTATTCCTGACAAACATGCCCTAAAAGTTGGTTTATTTCCAAAATAGTGAAAATGTACAAAACTAAGCAAAGCTTCTAAAAGGCAATCATTAAATCCTTCTTTAAACTCTCTAGATGTCAGATTTAGAGACATAAGTTGCCAGACCATGAATGCCAAAAAATTATCTATTGCTCTCATAAAATCACAACCACAGTTTCTTTATAATTTTTTACAATGCACACTTATACTTAAAGATGACTACCAGAACACTCTACCATGTTGACAAGATAGTAGAAAAACTCACTAAACCACCATTCACAAACTAGATTTATTAAAAAAGCAGTTTGATCTTTCAATATACCTAGATTAATGTGAAGCATTGGCCTATTTCCTTTGGTGACTGATTCTGATTCTAATTCTATTAAGTATAAAATTATAATCAATTTGTGATTTCTGAGTTTACCCTCCAATAGCCTTTTTAAAATTCCTTTTTTTTTTCAAGTGGTTCTAATCATTTCACTGGTTTGAGCATTTCCTAAGACATGTGAGAAAGAAAGGGTAAAAAGCACAAATATCCAGCTTAATTAATTGAAAACTAACTCAAAAGAGGATCCCTTTAAATGTCTTATTATAAATATGCCCTATAGTCCACTTACTTCCATTGTAGAATAATCCACCAGGTCAACCTTATTTCCAACTAAGATAACTGGTGTTTGGTGCTGTTGACCTAGTGTTGACCTGATAAGGGGCAGCCAGTGACCCGTAACTCGGTCTAAGGTATCCTCATCTTCCACACTGTACACGATGCAGATGACATCTGATCGGTTAATCTCTGCACGCAGCTGTTCCACATTTTGTTCTCTCTCTGAAAAAAAGGGAGTCAGAATAACAATTATAATCATTACAAATACATGCAAAAAAGAGGCTACATAATAACAAATATATAAGTAAATAAACAAATAAATAAATAAAACTCTTTGGTAAATATTAAGTCATATTGGAAAACTGAAAAAAGTTCACAGGAACCTTTGTACATTTCAGGAATACTTAAAATTTTTAGAAAAGCAGTAATTCTCAACAGGTGATAAATCTACCTTCATTAGCAGATCACCATCTTCCTCAAATAATACATTTGCGAATAAACTCCAGATATAGTTTGTGACACAGAAAAGGAAGGAGATAACAATGAAACAAAAGAAAAGAAGACGGAAAAAAGGATTATTAAGAATAAAACAAAGAATTACCTGAATAATCCACAATGTGTGTGGGAACCTTCTCCGGTGTGACATCAGGTGGGATGGTGATTTCCTCAGCACGTGGGGGTACTTGCTCGGGGAATTCCTCTGACACTAGTGAGAGGATGAGCGACGTCTTCCCCACGCCTGCATCCCCTAGGAGGAGGATGCGCACTCCTCGCCTGTGACTCCCCCCCATGCTGC